ATCCGGCGCCCTGACCAGGACTAGAACCCGGTGTGCCGGCGCCACAAGGCGGAGGATTAGCCTAGTGAGCGAAGGCGCCGGCCCTCTTTTAACATTTTTAACATCTCTGCAATCAATATGCATCTTTCAATTAGTGATGTGTTTACAGGTTTATTGGCCAAATTTTCATCTTAGTAATACATGAAATAATTGATGACTACTTAAAGTCCATGAAATACGGCATGGAAACAAGTGTCAAGCATTTTTTTAAAAAATCTTGTTCACCATATTTCTAAGAAGATTGAATAGTTCTTGATTTCAAAGATTTTAATAAGGATCATACCAAGATGAAGATGACTACAAGCAATATATAAGTTGCTGCGGGAACTTATAGAAGATTCATCCATGACTTACAGAGGCCAAGGAAAGTGTCCTAGCCATGGTGATGAGGTAAATGGATAAGCTGTGATCATCTTCTCACCCAAAAAGATTAAGTAAAATCCTAGAAGCTAGTAAGAGCATGGGCCCTTTAGGGATTTACATGCAGTTCTGAATGCTGGATAGAGAGTGCTAATGGGAGATGGTCAAAATATGATGATAGAGAAGACAGCAGAGGCCATCCCATGATGAGCCTTGTGGTCCATATTAAGGGACTTAGATTTTATTCAGTGCATTCCATCTACTGAAGCACAGATGTTACTTCCATTTGGCAGATGAGAAAACTGAGGCCAGCCAAGCTGAATCATTGGCTTCAAGCTAGATAGAAAAGAGAAAGATTGATTTAATCTCCTTTGTCTTTGACCTCACTCTAAGTCTAATACTCTTTAAACATACCAAGATCGACCAGGGCATAATACTCTTTGCTTAACCATACTGCCAAAAACTGCATTACCATGTAATCTTTCATTTTAGTTTACGCTGAATTAATATGTTTGGTTTAGATGGGGAAAAGGCTAGAACAAGTGTGCTGATTCTTAAAAATTTCTCTAAGGTAAATATAGGCTAATGTCAGGTTATGTGGATTCTGTTACATCACTCATAGATTTTCCATCACTGACAAATTCATCCATACTTGTAACTATTAAATGATGGATGTTGATGCTAATCTTTCCTAAATGCATCATGCATGTACTTTTCATAGTATGCATTTAAAAGATAAGCAAATAAACATAAAAATGAAAATGAAAACAAATGAAAGAAGTAATAGCTTGTTGATAGGAGAGTGAAGTTCACAACTTTCAGCATTTTTAATCTTGCATGGTATATGTCAACAGATTTTGCATTTTCAATTAATCTTAAAGCTTCTTCAGCTGCCCTTTTAAAGTAACACAATCTGGAGATTGACTAAATAAAGCAATTTAAGTTGAAATGTGACAACAGACAAAAAAGTAACCACTAACTTCGGAATTAATTACACAGGGTCAAGAAAACAGTAATGATTTGAATGGAAGTATTCTATTTCAGCCAAGCAATCTTGATTTCATATTATAATTTTAACATAATTTTGTTCATAGAATTCATTGGTGTAAACAAAGTCTCTTTACTGAAAGAATAACAAAGAGTCTTTTGCTGTTCCTTTTTAGAAAAATGGCACTATGAATCACCTAATATCTTTGACTCATTCTAAAAGGATCACATCTACAATCATCAAGCATTTAAGTCCTTTTTGAGAAAAGACATCTCTGGAGTCTATAAACAATGAGTACAAATGCCAATGTTCAGGTTATAATGATGTGACAATTACAAACTACTTAAATGGAATAGTACATGCCAAGACAATAGCTTGCTGGATTTATCCAACTAGAGAGGACAAAGAGCATAAAATCTTTAACAAGACAGACAATTGTCTAATTTAGGTATAGTCTTCTCTGAAATAAGGGGGTTGAGTTATGTAACCCTTAACGTTGATTCTATAAACCTCAAGACTTTGGAATTCCAAAGAATTCCATATAAACAATAATAATAGAATAAAAGGGCAGCTGAAGAAGCTTTAAGATTAATTGAAAATGCAATCCATCATTTAATAGACAAAAGTATGGAATATGAGAAAAGATTGTTAACTGTATTCAGAGTAGACCAAAAAAGAGGTTCCAGGAGAATGGTAACAAAAGAGCACTAGAGACTTAAGGAGTCAGTTTTGGAACAGTTCGCACTGACAAGAGTTCAAATCACAGGATTGATATACTTATTACTAGTATTGTGTCCTTGGGAGAGCTGTCTTCTCTTTCAAGAAAAATGATTTCTATCTAATAGGGTTGCTGTAAGAATGAAATCGAATCTTACGTATAAAGCAGCTGATGCATGATGTATGTGAACAGGGGTTCATATCAATATTATTATTGTTATGAACCTTACTATGGACATTCCAGGATGCTATTTCACTCTATTGGCATTGGATGAAGTAAAACAGTAGGCCAAGCAACCAGGTATAAGGCATTCTCTTTGTTGAGGGTGACATTTAGACTTGCACATTCCCAATTAGTTTTTCAATTAACCCCAGCCTTGAGGAAGATACTTCCTAGACCACACTGAATGTTAAAATATGACTGAAGGGCTATGATCAGTGCTTTCATTAGAGTAGGAAGGGAAAAAAATGTTACCTTCTACAAAAAAATCTCCAAAATTTATAACGAGTACTAAAACTCATAATCATCAAATCATTGTCTATGATACAGATTTATCACCCTAAATACTATAAAACATGCTCTGAATTTATCAATAGCTTTTTTCACAATTAAGCATACTCATCATTTTCTAAATAAAACTCCACAATGAACTTATTTTATGCATCTTCCTTCATTTGATGATAAACCATGACAATATAGCTTAGTAGCATTTTATGTCCCCACTACACTGGCAGCTGTATTGTCTCTGATGCTATAGGAGTGCTTTATTTGAATTTATTCAGCCCACAGTTCTATTTTTTAGCTGCTTCCTCAGTTAAAGTATATTACTGAACTTTTAGATGAAATATTAATTCACAATAGTTGGTTTAAATAAGCCACATGATAAAATGAGATACACAGAATAAATAAACCTTTTCCATTCCCCAAGCATCAACTGAGGGCCTACATTTTTCAAGGTAGGCATATCCTTTAATATATTCGAGGAGCTCTGTGAATAAAATTCCACGATAAAAACGAGATGCTGTTTTCTTGTTGGTTATCATCACCTAGTGTTGAAAATTAACTCCCAGATTCCTTGGCTCACAGAAGGGCATTCAAGTCAACAATTTTTCCTTTGGTCTTTATCACTCAGAGAAGTAAAACTTCTGTTCTTTAATGTTGATTTCCTCACGTGAATGTTTCTTACTCTCTGAGTAAGATAAAGATTTTGAAACCTTTCCCCTCACATTTGGCTTCTTCCTGCTTGTTCCAGGCATTAACCATCACAGAAATGAACAGAAGACACTGGAGGCCCCTTATTAGCATCTTACCCCACTCAGGAGGAAACCCCTCTTATTTTGTTGAATTAACAGCTTTTTAGGCACTCTGCACTGAATTTCATAAAACTGCTATCTACCACATTTGAGACTGGAATTAAGTGTTACTGTGAGGCTCAACTTTTCTTTGCATAATAATTTCACAGAAAGCATTATCTTCCAGTGGCTTTCAGAGCCATTTGTGGTCTGACATTCCTCTCATCTATGCAACCTATAATTTTTATAGGAAGAAGGCCTTTTTACAAGTACTCCAGCCTTTTTCCTTAAAATTACTTGAAAAGAACTCCTCCCTCCAATGAAGGAAAACCATAAAAAGCCAACTGTTTTATATATATGGTGCTGGTGCATTAAGAGTTAGGTTTGAAATCTTTCCCAGTTCTACCCCAAACTCCCCTCCTTCTCTTCCACCAAGAGGGTCATTGAATAGCAAATTGGCCATCATTCTACAATCTTGAAACCTGAACATTCTAAAAGGCTGCAGTCCTAAGTCAGAAATCAATGACATTTTCTCTTTCCACATTACATCCAAATATATCTAGGTTTACCTCTGGATTCTTGTTAACTTTATCAGCATTCCCACTCTAAAGGAATGAACAGTAAGTTAAAGTGAAAGCACCCTTGTAGTTGACAGAAAGGACTGCTACAGACCAGCAGAGCCATCTCTGGGTCAATTTCAAAAATATAACTGGCAGAAAGTAGACTGGGCTAAAGATTACATTCTCTGAGTAATATGGAAAAATCTCAGCTTCACAAGAATGTGTTGTCTTTGGAAGTTTTCAAAACCTATTCAATTGGATACTGATTCCTTAAATGTGACACCTCAGACAGCCCTGGACAAGTTAGAGTTATAAGCCACTATCTTCTGTTATCTCTAAGCTTACACCTTAGAACTTACAATCGCTTTTAATTTCTTAAATAAACATAAACAATGAGGTAAATCCATGCAGAGGTTCTCTGGAAACAACTAGTCATGCTGAATAAAAGAAATGCAAAGCCATTCTATCTAGATAGCCATAACTATTTAATTATATATATATATAATTATTGTTCATTATAAACACTTTTGAAATTAGGGCTTTGCTTATTTGAAAAGCTATGAAACACCCCTGTAGAGTCTGGTCAATGGTACTGAAAGTACAAAATTTGTGTTCCTAGGACACACACTAGAACACATACACCAAAGACTCAGGTATGTATAATGACCTCCTCAGAACCTAGATCACAGCAATAAAAATAATGCAGTATAGCAACAAGTTTACTAGAGAGCTCCCTGAACAAGCAAAATTTGCAGCTGCTCAATTGCTTTTATTCAATGTAATTTAAAGGAATATTCAGTCTGTCAAGGCATTCTGTCAGTTGACGATTTCACCAAACCTTTTGAATAGCCAATAATCCTGCTTAACCCTAAATGCTTCCCCCTAAGTGAGTTACCCCTTCTCAGAGTGGCATGGTCCACATTCACAGCGAGAGGCAGGTTCTCCTCTCAGCCTAATAAAGATTGCGTCTGCACTCAAACCAGTAGTCCAAGCAGGCAGTTGGCAAATCGGAAAGGCAATCTTCATTCCCACTCATTCCATACCTTCTCTGATTTCGCCTTCCTGGCATTGTGCACGAACCTGCGACCCAGCTTCTTGGCATACCAGATAGAGGCAAACATAGCGATGCCAGTGAAAGGAATTCACAATGAAGCTGCTGCACAATCAACTTCCCACCTCGGCTCAGAGACGAACGGAATCAGGCTGGAGCTGTCACTTGCAGGCTGTTGCTTTCTCAGTTCCTCTCATGCTGGTTAGCTGAGGGAGAGGGTGGGAGGAGGGAGGGGTTGGGGGGAAAAGGCAGTCCTGTTTGGCCAGTCTGCAGGTATATTTACATCCTGCCAGCAGGAGGTCCGGGTGAGGCGGCCGCTGCCTTTACAGCCAGCTTATACACATCCAGTTGGCTAAGTATCTGTCTGCCGGTCTACGGCACTGTCGCCACCAAACTCCATGTGTGTCAGGAGGAAAAGAAGCCGCAGTCAACTCGTCCGGAAGGCGGCTCACCTCCCGCTCTTGGCTCCGGCAGTTGCACTCCTCGCTTGGCTTCCCTCTGTCTTGACAGTACGTGCTGGCGGCGGTGGCCGCGTAAAGACAGATCTACACTCAGCCTCGCAGGTAAATCAGCCAATACAGGAGCTGCCAAGGCACGGGGGAGAGGCAGGGCTCTGGATCTGGCTCTGCAGGCACAAACAGGTGTCCCTGGAGCCTACATCCCGCTTAGATCCGCAAGACAACTCTTGACTGTTAGGGTGGCTGGAAACACAAGCACACTTCCCTTGCCCACTTCTCAACTCCATTTGGTCCAGGGAAAGTCGTGTCTCCCTTCCAAGCAGCCTTATAAACAGCCAGTTAGAAAAATACCATTTCTTTATACACTGGCCGAAGTGGCAGGATGAAGTATCCCTTCCCTATGTCTGAGTCCAAGCACTTAGTTTTCAAAGTCGTGTATTCTACCTCTAAAAGAACGGAGGCCTCTTTTTAGCATGTGTTTTCAGCACAGGGACTAGGGGTGGAGAGGGGTTTAAGTCTACCTTTAAACTAAAATAGAGATCAATATAAATCTTTTGTCTTTTACTGAAGATTTCCATGGAGAACAGCCCATCATTTTTGGTTTTTCTTTTTCTTTTGCTAATCCCAGGTTTTCTCGCAGTGACACCCAGTGTTAAACTCATGACCACAATATCACCTTTAGGCAGGGAGATTTCTGGCAGCTCCTAAACTAGCCTCTTTCGGTTTTTCACTTTTGTTACTAATAATAGACACCCCAATATCAACCACCTTATCAGAGTTTAGACTATTATTTGAGCAACTTTAAGATAAAGTCAATTTTGAGAGATAGATGTTTTCTCCAATGAGAGATGTTTAAGCCCTTTGCCAACTCTACTGGAGAATGAAAACCAATTACCCATGTTGGCATGGAAAACTTGCCTTTCAGTGACACATAAACTAAATTCAATCAAGTTAGTGTTCCAGATGAACTGATAGACGGGCCCTGTGAACATCAATACACTTGAAGACACTGGGAAAAGAACTCCTTCTCTCAACAAGTCACATCAGATCTATTGCACAATGGGGTTGAGTCTGGAGTCAATTTAAAATTTATATTGTAAAGAATATTGGATAGCCTCATAGGTAATTAAAGGCAGGTTGTATGACAGGAAATGGATAATCAAAATCCATGTTCATGTTATTCATTAAGGTAACTCTTATACTTAGTACAATACTTAACACAATGCATTCAATGGATGATTATTGAAAGAATGAATGTTTTCTGAACCTGACTTTGCTTCTAATTTGTTTCCTTGTTGTCTGTGGGCAAAATTTGCCTCAATGGAAAATTAAAACAATTGGATAGCTGAGCTTTAACATCTCTTCCTGACGATGAGTCTATGATTCTGATTGTTGGTATTCATGCAAGTACTGAACAGAGATCTTTAGTGCTCGCTAGGGACACAGATTGTGGTAAAATCATTCGGTGTTCTGAAAAGCCAACAATGGCACCCTTGGGGAAGCTCAGCTCTTTCTACCTCCTTTGGCGTGCCTGGCTGCCACCCAGGGATTGGTTTTGCCATTAGCTATTTCTTTTGCTCTGTGCTCTCACAAGTACTGCTTTCCTTTAATTTCCTTTTGACAATCTTAGACAACCCCTGTGCAAAGTTCTCCACATTACACCCTGTACCATTTGTTAGAAATGTGCCACAGAATCTAACAAATAAATACATGAGAACTCCTACTTAGTTTTTTGAAGAACTATTCAGCAGAAACATAGCTTACATTAATATTGCTATAATTCTAAAGGTTTTCATTATTTCTGTTTGTCAAAATCATGTTGTGGTTAAAATTGAATTAATAGAATTAGTAGAATGATGCATATAAAAGGATGAGAAGAAATAATTTCCCTAAAATTGATGGGTAAAAATTCTGTTTTTCACATTTTGAGATGGAATCATACAATAAGGAAGTGAGACCAAAAATATTGAACTTTCAAACCAGTGATATCAGAGAGAGAAACAGAATCCCCTGATGAAATTGATCAATCATAAGTCATTTTTGCTTTCTAATGAGAGTTAATATTTTCTGAGTCATTAGAGCTAAGGCTTGGATATATCTTTGACGTCTGATCATTTGATTTATTAGTTTTGAAATGCTAAACCTTTAATGACTTTCTTCACACACCTGACAAAGAGACTTTACAATCTTTTCAAGGATGGAGTTTTTTATAAAATAAATTGAGTCTACAACTAAGATTGAGCTAAAAATAGATCAAGGATAGCTACTGTTCCTTAAATAGGCAGTCACAGGTAGGAAAGGCAGTGTGGAGCAGGACAAGCATAGTCAGGACCCATGCACATGTTATGTAAATACTTAGCAAAATAAGGATATTCAAAATATATCTGTCATCTGTATCTATGACAAAGGAGGAAGATAATACACTGGGAAAAACTGAAAGAGTCAATAGAAGCATATCTATAAAATACCAGCTGTAAAAGGTGTCTTAAAGATGCGTATAATGTCAGCAGAATGAAAACACTGCCATATTTATACAATCATATTCCCTGGGCTCTCTCGTGGACAGATGTGCTTGCTAACAAAGAGGGTGGCAAATGCCTACAGTTAATCCTCATAGTCTCTAACCACTGCTCTCCTAATTGAGATAAATAACTTTTACAGCTCTGCTGTGGAAGGAAAACAAATTTTTCAGCCATTTTCCATCTGTATATGATCAGAACCTGGACAGACCCTTTCCTTTATAATTTCATTTTTAATATCTCTGTCATGACAGAGGCCTACCAGTACAGCTGAGTTTGAGATGCAACATTAATCCTTGTAAGCAGCTTTAGGTTCATGCCTCAACAAATACACACACACACACACACACACACACACATTGAGAGCCTTCTCTGAATTATCAAGGTAAATGCAATATTTAAATCAAGCCATTAAAGTATTACACAACCAAATTTTCAGCCTGGCACTTGAGTGATTCTCATTGTAAAATTATCTATATATGTCTTAGATACTTATAAAAATAGGGTAAGAATTAAATCACAGAAAGTGATATCTGCTAACTTGAAAATCTATCTATGTTCAATATTGATAAGAAATAAGTGAAAACATATTTTGTGACATAATTAAAGTGTAAAGTCAATAATCAAGTAATGATTTTTGTATTTTTTGCATATTTTATATGGATATTTGATAATTTTTGGACTCACAACTGATTTTAGTTGATTATTAAACAGTATCTTTAGAATATAAACCACATAAACTGAGTAAATCAATATAAACATAATATAAAGGAAAATATAAAAACAGATAGCTTTTGCTCTATATATGCATCCTGCTAGTTATCTACAGGAAAATATACTCGTATTATTTTTGCGATTAAAAAGGTAGGAATCGCTTTACCACAAAAATGTATTGACGTACTTATCGTATGTCAAACACGAAAGACCTCTAAATGAATAAAATCTAAACCTTCCTCTAAAGGAACCCTATATAGTTGTGGACACAGATGTATAACAAAATAAATGTCAATGCACAATGACATTGAAACTGATGTATGGGGCCGGTGCTATCGAATAGCAGGTAAAGCTGCCGCCTGCAGTGCCGGCTTCCCATATGAGTGCCTGTTTGAGTCCCAGCTGCTCCACTTCCGATCCAGCTCTCTACTGTGGCCTGGGAAAGCAGTAGAAGATGGCCCAAGTTCTTATGCCCCTGCACCCATGTGGGAGACCTGGAAGAAGCTCCTGGCTCCTAGCTTTAGATCAGTGCAGCTCTGGCCGTTGTGACCAACTGGGGAGTGAACCAGTAGATGGAAAACCTCTCTTTCTCTCTCTCTGTCTCTGTCTCTGTCTCTGTCTCTCTCTGCCTATCCTTCTTTCTCTGTGTAACTCTTTCAATTAAATAAATAAATCTAAAAAAAAAAAAAAGAAACTGATATGTAGAAAATAAGAGCTGAGGGAGAAAACCACTTGTTTTAGCTTTTTATATATATAAAAAAAAGTCCACTAACAAATGTTAACTGCAAAGAGTGTAATAATTAATGCTTGTGTATAGGAAAAAGGCAAAGGGAAAGCTAAATCTCCCTGCATCTTTTCTTATCTCTGAAGAGGACAAATGGTCACTATGTATTTATGTGTGTATCAAAGTCAGTGTATACAAACTGGTCAACTTGCTGATAGATATGTTTGTTCCAGTAGACAAGTGTGAAAACAATGTTTTCAGTCCTTTCAAATAACATGGCATTGATTATAAATGGCTAAACAAGTATATTTTTCTACTCTCAAAATAATCAAAACTAATTCTTCAGCATTTGAATATCTCATTTGTCCTTTCTTTTAAATGTTTAATCTTGATGGACATCTGGGTTGATTCCGTATCTTAGCTATTATGAGCTGAGCTGCTATAAACTTGAGGTACAGATAACTCTTTCATATGCTGATTTCATTTGCATTGGATAAATTACCATAATGGGATGGCTGGGTCATATGGTAGATCTATTTTCAGGTTTCTGAGGAATCTCCATATTGTTTTTCATAATGGTTGCACTAGTGTACATTTCAACCAACAATATATTAGGGTATTATTTTCCCCACATCCTCTCCAGCATTTATTATTTTTTCTAGTTTTGGATGGAAGCCATTCAAGCTGGGGTGAGCTGAAACCTCATTGTGGTTTTTATTTGCATTTTTCTGATGGCTAATGATCCTAAGTACCTTTTCACATATCTGTTGGCCATTTGTATTTCATCTTTTGAAAAGTGGCTATTCATATCCTTAACCCATTTCTTAATTGTATTCTTTTATTGTTGAGTTTCTTAAGCTCTTCATATGTCCCACATATTAATCTTTTATCAGATGTATAGTTTATAAATATGTTCTCACATTATTTCAGCTGTCTCTTTACTTTTTTGAGTGTTTCATTACTGTTGAGAAGCTTCTTAACTTCATATATTCCCACTCGCCTTTAATGCCTGTGTTTCTAGGGTCTTATGCAAGCAATTTTTGCCTGTGCCAATGTCTTGCAGAATTTCTCCTATGTTGTCATCTAGTAATTTGATGGTTTCAGGTCTCAGGTTTAGATCCCTGACCCACTGTGCGTTGATCTTTTGTTAAGAGGTATATGGAGTCTTGTTTCATACTTCTGCATGCAGAGATCTAATTTTCCCAGCACCATTTCTGGAAGAGACTGACCTTTCATCCAGGAGAAATTTTAACTCATTTGTTAAAGATGTCCATTAACTAATGACTGGATAAATACATTGTAATGGAATACTATTCAGTTGTAAAAAATAAAAATGAAATCCTGTCTTTTTTAAAAAAAATGGATGCAATTGGAGAGCATTATTCTTTGTGAAATAAGCCAGTCCCCAAAAGACAAACATCATGTTTTCTCTAATTTGTGGTAACTAATCTACAGAGTACACAAAAAGTAATGTATAGGAATGATACTGATATTTTGAGTTTTGATTATTGTTTATAACCTTTGTCTATTCTGAAGAACAATGTTTTTGTACTTACAACTTGTTGAATTCCTTGTTTAGTGGAAGATAAAGCTTATTATCATTAGGTAAATTGAAAGTACGTCATTGTAAAAATTAAATGAAAAATGAGAGGAAGAAGGAAGGGACAGTGGGAACAAGAGAGGGAGAGAAGGGTGAGAATTGTCATTATGCTTTTAAAACTGCATATATGAAATACATGAAACTTGTTCCCTTTACATAAGTTTTTATATTTAAAATTAAAAAGATAATAATAAAAATAAAAAGGTAAAATATCATATTTAATCATACAGAAATGTAAAGAACATAATACTCATCCATATAGCTTCCACTCAGATCTACTCAACATTTCATCATTCTCATAATTTAATCAGATTAGTTTTTAAATAAATAGGCTCTTTGTAAGATAGTCAAAATCTACACATCTCATTTCCTTCAAATTCATTGCCTCAATTTCATCCAAAATAACATGCAATCAACATTCTTGTATCTCTTTCTTTAAGCACATGCAATTTTCTCCAGAGTACATGCTATAAAATGTAATTGGTAGATCATGAGATGTGTCCATCTTTTACTTTAATTACTTATAAATTGTTCTCACATTTACGTTATTAGTTTCTACAAGTCTGATAATCTAGATGACACAATATTGTCAGACTTAATAATTTTCCCAAACATAATACGTGTTAGCTCTTTGTAGTCTTTAGGTACATTTTCTTGATTATTGCTCAGACTTAGCACCTCATCGCATGTTTACTGCCTTCTTCTCATTGCCCATCTTTGAATAGGGTCATATTTTTCTTATTGATTTGTAGAACTACTATATTTATTTATGACACCAAGTCTTTGTTTATGACAGCCTTAAAATATCTCTGCTCCAATCTCTAACTTACTATTTAACTCTACTTATGTTTTTTAATATAGAAACCTCATAAAAATTTTAAATGTATTGAAATTTATTTATGATTTCACTTGTTAGCACATATTTTATTTTCAAAAAATCCTCTCATATAAGTTATAAACATATTGTTTTTTAAGCAATTTAATTTTTTGCTTGCTGCACATGACTTCAAGTTGTTTTTGCTTCTGTTTCTAACCTATAGTGGAAAGTAGAAACCCATTATCCCTCAAAAGCAATCTTTCTGTTTATCTATCTACCAGTAAATAAGATTGCTATCCATTTTCTTTATTGATGTGTAACACCCCTAAGTCATATTTCAAGATCATGTATGTGTACATATAATCATGTTTCTGGACTCCTTTTTATTGTTCTAGTTTTATTTGCCGTTCCATATAGCACAATACCTATGTTTTCTAGTTTATATTGTTACCTGAAGGGCTAACCATCCTTTTCACTTGATAATGACTTCTCAAATTAATGTTTTAAAAATTTGTACAATTGTATACTTCTATACCACCCTCAATATCCCACACTAATTTTTTACATATTTTAGTTCTATCTTGTTGTAGTTCTATTTCCAACACTAAATCAGTTATGATTGTTGCCATGACTATTATTAATTTTAATGGTTAAGTTTTACTCACAGTGACTCCCACATCCTGTCAGTTTATTTTCTCATCAGTTTCAGTATTCTAACTCTTTTTTATGTATTAAATTTCCTTGTTATGGATGCTTATATTTTAATAGTCTTGCTGCAAAAATGATGGTTAGATTTATTCAATCTTTCTATATTTTTCCTGAACTGTCTACATTCATCTTAGACCTTCCTTGAATAATAATATAACTAGAGATTTCTAGATTGACAGTGATTTTCCCTCAACATTTTGAAGATATTACTCCATATTGTCTTCTGGCATCAATTTTTATTATGATATGTCTTTTGTCAATCTAGTCACTACATTGTTAAATATATTCCTTTCTATGATTTATTTGAGGATTCTTTTTTTTGTCTTTGTTGAACCATAGTTTCATTAAAATAAAGTACTTCAGGAAGTTTGCAACAAATTAAATTAAAAGGTAAGTTCACTTTAGTGCAAAAGATTTTGAAATCAATGCATAATCTTTCTCATAATATACATTGTCCATGGACTTTCTGAAGACTCCTTTTATCCTTTTTATTTTAAAATTCTGCTTGGAACTCGTTAGAGTTCTTTGATCTGACAATTATCTTTAAAATATCTTTTTAAAATATCTTATTAAAATACAGTATGCATACAAAGAAATGCATGGAAGTATATAGATAAATGAGTTTTTGGTCCTCTGATCATACTCATAACCAACAGCCAAATTAACAATAAGACATTGCATTTTAATAATCAATTTTTAATGTTACTTTTCATTTGCTCTGTTACTGTCTCCTCTTAAAATCCTATTATATTGTTTCTGGAACATTTTATTTTACTGCCCTATGGCTTATTATAGATAATACGTTTCTCGTCTTTCATTCTTGGTGCCATTTTAGCATTAAACTTAGATATAGTTATTTCCTATTCAATTTCTATTTTTAATCTGTTGTCTTTATGCACCTAGAAAGCATTTTTAAAGTTTATTTAGTTGTTGATTTAGTTGTTTATAT